TTCTTTTTTGTATTATAATACATACCAGAACCTGCTCATCATCAGCCTAATGAAGAGTAAACCACAGACCACCAATTACAATGTAGTCTGAGCCCTGCCACATGCACAATAGGGGACCTCCTTACAGCGACACCAGAGGCATCCCAAGTGGCCAGCTACTGGTTAAAGGACATTTAATATAATGCCAAGTATTAAACTTTTGTGTTTTTCAAATACATTACAACTGTACCTTGATTCGCTTCTGATACAATCAATAAAAACTCACCAAAACCTATTTTGTATTGTTAAAAAAAGGTATTTTAAAATTATGAAAAAGCAACCACCAACCTTGTTAAGTTTACCAAGAGAAGATATAAGATCTGCCCATTCACTTGAAGATTCAAAGTTCCTCAAAGCTTTGTCAATTGCTGAAGAATAATTTCTGTATCGATAATCACCATGCAGTTCCTGTTCCTCTGGGTCCATTTTAATTTTTCATTGCCCAAACCTTCTTGGGAAACTAAAAGAAAACATAAAGAAGCAAGTGGTAAGAATTCCAAAGACACTTGATATACTGGATGGATTATTTCTCAGAAATCTTTGCAAATAGAGACAGTCCCCAAATTATGAAAAAGATAGATTCTGTAGGTTTGTTCTTAAGTTGAATTTGTATTGAAGTGTAACTCTAACACACACACACACACACACACACAAGCTTTGGATGGCACAGAGAAGGATTAACACTCCTGTGGTGTTTGTTTTTCTGTTTGTGCCCCTGTTCTGAAGATTTCATCTCATTTTCTGTCCCTGTGATAACTGGATTTTGAAAAAAAATGGCTTGTTGTGGAAACAAAGATTGCTGAGAAAGCTTCAGTGGAAACTCCTTTTCCCCATAATAACTCTTCCAAGAGTGAATTTCCCTTCTGAAGGGTAGATTCCTCTCACTTCCTGTTGTCTCACTCCTGTTATTAAATATGAATTGTTTGTAAGTCAGATGTTTGTAACTCAGGGACTGTTTGCACAGCCAAGGAGACAGCAAAAGCAAAATTAAAAGTAAGTTATTTTTATTAATTTCCATTAAATTCAAGCTCCACAAAATAAACCCATCCCATTAATGTCGTTGCATGTCTTCAAATTGTAATTTTAGGGTATGGACTGTGGGCCAGATGTGGCCCTCCAAGGTCATTTACCTACCCCCTGCCCTAAACTTTAGATTTAGGATCACCCTAAGTCTGAGATGACTTGAAGGCACACAATCCAAATTAACTAGACTATCTCATCAGCCAATTTCAAGGCCACACTTCCCACTGAAATACTGGGAAGTTTATGTTGGCTAAACTTGTTTTTAATTTTAAATAATGTATTGTTCTTTCATGGGTTTTTTTAAAACTACAAATAAGATATGTGAAGTGTGCATAGGAATTCGCTCGTGTTTTTTTTTAAACTATTGTCCAGGCTCCCCAACAGACTGGGGGACCTTGAACCAGCTCTCAGCTAAAAAGGTTTGAGGACCCCTGCACTATCTTCTAGTAAAAACAAGTCAACAGAAGCTGCATAGAAAATCTTGAATGTAATATTCCAAGTATCATATATTTAACATTTAAAAACTGTAACATTATTTGGAAATCCATTATATTATATTAAAGCTAGTAAATGTAGAAATCATAAAAGTCAGTGTAAAAACATTTTGAATCCCTTAACCATTGCAACAGCTGCTGAGTAGTATCTAGTGGTGTTCTTCTCCAGTAAGTCAAAAGATTTTCCCTACCATAGTTCCCTTTATGGTATTCCTGCCTGCATAAGTAAACAGTTGGAAGAAAATGTACTCTTGACCTTCATTTTAATGGACTTGAGATGAAGCCTAAATAAACTCACTTTCACTTATTGAAAACCTATACATCACCAGCAGACCAATAATGGCATAATTTTATTTGCTTAAATTTACCAATTGCAGAGATACTACTCATGTATAAATCAACTGTGTGTGCAAGTGGAACTTCCTTCCAAGGGAGACCAGGATGGCCCCATCCCTGCTGGCCTTCCACAAGCAAGTCAAGACCTTTTTCTGCCAACAGGCATTTGGGGAAGGATAAAGGGGTAGACTTTGAGGAAATTGAGTAGGATTGAGTGGGGGGGGGGGGGTATGAGTTATAAAGGCCATTTTAAGTGTATTTATTGTATTTTAATTAACTTTAACTTTTGTGTTGCACTTTTTAAACTTGTATAGTATGGGAATGTTAGTCACCCGGAGTGTCCCACTGGAAGAAAGGTGGAATATTATTATTATTAATAATAATAATAATAATAATAATAATAATAATAATAATAAAGCTATTGGTAGGTTTTGGGGCAAAAGTATGGATTGTGATATGACCTGCGAACAAGTCGAGGGTCATTCCAAGGAGAAGAGAAAGCACTAATGCTTCCTCAAGTCCTATTGGGATGAGCTAGATCTTGCCTTTTACCATTCTCCTCAGAAAAGGAGCTGTTTCTTTTTTATATAATAGTTATGGCATGGTAATCACACTGACCTGTGAATAAGTCTAGCCAATTTTGGGGAGCTGATTTTTTGACAGAAATATCTAGACTTATACAGGAGTATATTTGGTATTTCAGCAACCTATTGGCCAATAAATTATAATTACCATACTTTAATTTATGGAGGAACATGCCAACAGGAATTGAGTTCCTCTAACCTTTATGATCAAGTTAATAATCAACTCTTAATGAAACCAAAAGATAATGTAAATATGAGAGACTGCTTTCTTAGAGCAAGAGACTGCAGTTGTTAAATCCCAAAGTCAGAACCGTCCAGGCCACAGTATTTTTAATTTCTATGAACATGGTGAAATAAAGAAAGCTGACAGGAAGGAAATCAACTCATTTGTGATATGGTGCTGGAAAAGTTTTCTACAGATACTATGGACTGCTGAAAAGACAAATGAATAAGTTAAGAGTAAATGAAACCTGAACTCTTACTAGATATGAAGATAACTAAATGGAAGCTCTTGCACTTTTGAAATGACATAATTCACTGGAGAAATGATAATGTTTGGCAAATGAGAAGCAGTAGGAAAAGGGGGAGACTATGCTGCATGTGGAGTGATTCAAGCTATGGCCATGAGTCTACAAGACTTGAGCACAACAGTTGATGACCAGGGCTCTTGAAGTTTTCTCATCCATAGGGTCACCGTAAGTTGAAGACAACTTCATAACACAGAGCAGAACAACAACAAGCATGTGTAACTGAATATAGTATAAAGCACATATCAATCGAATAGAGGCATTCATCACTATCCTTGAGTCCCCTTCGGGGTTGAGAAAGGTGGGATATAGTAAATAAATAAATAAATATCACTTTCTTCCTTAGTAGCCTTGTGAGGATAGGAAATGTCAATTCTGGGTCTTCAGAAGCCACCTGAAAATGCCAGTCATCCCCCAAAACAATCTGAAGATTGGGAAGGAAATAAGTAATTATCCAGCTAGAGAATATAGGTTTCAGGCAATTATTGAACTGGCACAGATCCAGGCAAATCTGGATCTACTGGTTAATTTCTGTGGGCTTTTTAAAAAGTAGATTAGCTGCAAAGGATTTCTGACTCATGATATTTAACAATAATAGCAACAACATTACTCCCTCACCACCCTAAAGTATATTGCTGAAATAAGGAAAAATATGGAGCAGATTTTATATGGAAGTTCTATGAGCTCTATTCAGTTCTGGTAGTCAGAACAAATTCCTGGTGTCTGAATTATTTCACATATTAAGAATCCTTCAGGATCAAACATTTTGCTCCTAACATTAACCAACCAGAAATATATAAGAAGCCCACAGGCAGGATACAGAATCATAAGAGTTGGAAGATATCATACATGCAATCCAGTCCAATCCTCTGCCATGCAGAAAAATACAATCAAAGTATTCATGACAGATTGCCACCCAGACTGTGCTTAAATCTCCAGAGAAGGAAACTCCACCATGTTCCGAGACAGCATATTCCACTACGGAATGGTTCTTACCATCAGGAAGTTCTTCTTAATGTGTAGGTGGAATCTCTTTTCCTGCAATTTGAATCCATTGCTCCATGTCCTACTCTCTATTATTATTATTATTATTATTATTATTATTATTATTATTAAACTTTATTTGTACCCCGCTAGCATCTCCCGAAGGACTCGATGCGGCTTACAAAGGCCAAGGCCTCAACATAACAACAACAAACAATAACAATGCAAGCAAATTAAAAACATAAGCAATAACACAACAAAACATTACACTATTACACAATAAAATCAGGGCCGGGCCAATGATGGGTACAGGTTAAAAGTGCTGGGTGTGTGAGGTGGTATGTTGGAGTTCTGGGCAAGTGCAATGTGCAGAGAGTATTAAACTCTAATAAAGTGCTTCTGGGACAGAGTGCTGGAGGTTATCCTATTGTGCAAAGGCACATCGGAATAACCAAGTCTTCAAATTCTTCCTAAAGACTGCCAACGTGGGTGCTAGTCTAATGTCTTTGGGGAGGGTGTTCCAAAGTCGGGGGGCAACCACAGAGAAGGCCCTGTCCCTCGTCCCCACCAAACGCGCCTGCGACGCAGGTGGGATCGCGAGCAGGGCCTCTCCGGATGAACGAAGTGAGCGCGTGGGTTCGTAGACGGAGATGCGGTCACGCAGGTAGGCAGGTCCCAAACCGTTTAGGGCTTTGTAGGTAAGCACCTGCACCTTGAATTGGGCTCGGTAGGTAAACGGCAGCCAATGGAGCTCCTTAAACAGGAGGGTTGACCTCTCTCTGTAAGGAGCGCCAGTTAACATCCTGGCCGCTGCCCGTTGAACCAGTTGGAATTTCCGAGCCCCACATAGGGCAGCCCCACATAGAGCGCATTACAGTAGTCCAATCTAGAGGTGACCAGGCATGGACCACCCCGGCCAAAAGTGATGCTACAGTTCAATGCCTTGGATCATTTTCAGACTAAAGCCCAGATCACGGAAGCTGATTTGAGCTGGTCCTTGAGGAAAAGGGCAGATCTGCCAGCACTTTCCAGTCCTCTTTTCACCTTTTCCCGCTTATTCTTTTGTCTCGCCAGCAGAGCCCACCGGCAGTGATCTTTGTCATCCTCTTTGGTCTGTTCATGCTGCTCATCTTCTACAACTCCAACAGTCGGAACGAGGCCTTCCATTACAACGCTGAGACCGCAAATCTACCCCTGCCTTCCGATCTCAGGAAATGGGGGGTCAAAAGTGGATACAGGCCTGCCTCGGGGAACAAGGTAGGGGAGGATATCTTTAACAGGAGGGGAAAACCCTGGCACGTGGGGTTATTTATTTATCGTGTCATCCGCAACCAGACCATTGTATTACATTTCTAAAAGAACAAAACAAACAAACAGATAAAAAAACATAGATTTTGCAAACTTGATAGTTGATTAAATGTCCTTTGACCAGTATCTGGCCCCTTGGAGTGCCTCTGGTGTTGCTGCAAGAAGGTGCTCCCTTGTGCATGTGGCAGGGCTCAGGGTGCATTGCAGCAGGTGGTCAGTGGTTTGCTCTTCTCCACACTCGCATGTCGTGGATTCCACTCTGTGGCCCCACTTCTTAAGGCTGACTCTGCATCTCGTGGTGCCAGAGCGCAGTCTGTTCAGCGCCTTCCAAGTCGCCCCGTCTTCTGTGTGCCCAGCGGGGAGTCTCTCATCTGGTATCACCCACAGATTGAAGTGCTGGGTTTGACCCTGCCACTTTTGGACTCTCGCTTGCTGAAGTGTTCCAGCGAGTGTCTCTGTAGATCTAAGAAAACTATGTCTTGATTTCAGTCGTTGACGTGCTGGCTGATGCCCAAACAAGGGGTGAGCTGGAGATGCTCTGCCTTGGTCCTTTCACTATTGGCTGCTACTTCCCGGCGGATGTCAGGTGGTGCAATACCGGCTAAGCAGTGCAATTTCTCCAGTGGTGTAGGGCGCAGACACCCTGTGATAATGCGGCATGTCTTAGCGTGTTTTAGATGTGTTCCACACTGGGCATGCAGACTCAGCAGCAGAGTAGCACAGCACAAGGGCAGATGTCTTCACTGTTTTAGCGTGGTGAGATGTGTTCCACACTGGGCATGCAGACTCAGCAGCAGAGTAGCACAGCACAAGGGCAGATGTCTTCACTGTGTCTGGTTGTGATCCCCAGGTTGTGCCAGTCAGCTTTCGTATGATATTGTTTCTAGCGCCCACTTTCTGCTTGATGTTCAGGCAGTGCTTCTTGTCGGTCAGAGCACGGTTCAGAGTGACTCCCAGGGATTTGGGTGTGCTGCAATGCTCCAGTGGGATTCCTTTACGTGGGGTAAACCTACAGGCCACAGTTGTCATGATCCCAGAACCAGAGGGCCTCTAGACCTCTTGGATTGTGGAGTTGGGTCCAAATTTTGCCTGTGAAGCTGAACCTATGGACAGCACATCAGGTAGTTCCTCTGAATTTCTTCTGAGCACAGGGTTCAGCATGCTGGATAGCTCCTCTGAATTTCAGGCTAAAACCCAGAGCGGATTCATGACCTTCACTGACACGAAAGCTGTCATCCTTAAGGTCTTGAAATCTGAGGAGATCTTGACATTGTGCCTGATATTTCTATAAATTTCTATATAAACATGTGGAAGGGTGTCCAAAGGAAGAGGGAGTAAGCTTCTTTTCTGCTGCACTGGAAACTAGGACTCAGTGGAGCCATGGCTTCAAATGGCAGGAAAGGAGATTGCTCCTGAACATGAGGAAGAACTTCCTCACTGTACGAGCTTTCAACAGCGGAACTCTCTGCCTCAAAGTCTGGTGGAAGCACCTTCCTTGGAAGCTTTTAAGCTTTTTAAGCTTTTAAGTTGTTTCTGGGGGACTCCTGCTTGGCCCCACAGCCATTGTCCTGTGGGGCTCAGTATTGTCCCCCATGTTGTTTAACATCTACATGAAGCCGCTGGGTGAAATCATCCGGAGTTCTGGAGTCCAACACCATCTGTACGCAGATGACGTCCAACTCTATCACTCATTTCCACCAGATGCGTAGGAGGCTGTCCAAGTCCTGAACCGGTGCTTGGCCGCTGTGACGGTCTGTATGAGGGCAAGCAAATTGAAGTTGAATCCAGACAAGACAGAGGTCCTCCTGGRCAGTCYCAAGGCCCAACAGGGTGTAGGATCACAACCTGTGCTGGATGGGGTCCCACTCCCCTTGAAGGCACAGGTTTGCAGCTTGGTGGTCCTCCTGGACTCATCACTGAGCCTGGAATCCCAGGTTGCAGCGGTGGCCAGGGGAGCGTTCGCACAATTAAAACTTGTGCGCCAGCTGCGCCCATACCTTGGAAAGTCACACTTGGCCACGGTGGTCCACACTCTCGTTACATCTAGGATAGACTACTGCAACGCACTCTACGTGGGGTTGCCTTTGAAGACTGCTTGGAAGCTTCAAATAGTCCAACGAGAGGCAGCCAGGTTAATAACTGGGGCGGCATACAGGGAGCATACAACTCCCATGTTACGCCAGCTCCACTGGCTGCCAGTTTCTACCGGGCACAATTCAAAGTGCTAGCTTTGGCCTATAAAGCCCTAAACGTCCCCGGCCCAAATTACCTGTCCGAACGCATCTCCCCCTATGAACCATCACAGAGATTAAGATCCTCCAGGGAGGCCCTGCTTTCCGTCCCGCCATTGTCACAGGCACGATTGGTGGGGACGAGAGACAGGGCCTTCTCGGTGATTTGCTCCCTGGCTATGGAACTCCCTTCCTGGTGAAATCAGGTCGGCCCCCTCCCTCCTGTCCTTTAGAAGGATGGTCAAAACTTGGCTGTGGGACCAAGCTTTCGGGACAGGGCAATAAAGCGGCAATAGGAAAGATGACCAGGCCAATTAGATTTGATGCAGATGACTAGAATGGTTTTAATAATAATAATAATAATATTTATTTATTTGATCAGTCATATGACCATTTCAAAATAGAACATGAGTAAAAAAAACAAGGCAAAAAGGTGAGGACAGCAGCTGACCTTCTATTTATAGTCAGAATCTTATTTTCCTGGTTCTTCTTTCAGGAAATCTGCTCTTTTCTTAATAGCTTTCAGAATAAAAAGGCTTACTCTGATTATGCTGGATCTTTCCTGCCCTTGCAAGAGGGATGTCAGAATATCATTTCTGTTGGGGGACCTGCAGTTGGATAATATTGGATGTAAATAGATTACCAGGCCAATTAGATTTGACGTGGATGACTAGGATGGTTTTAAATGGTGTATTTTAATATTTTGATAAATATTTTTAATTGTTTATATATGCGTATATGAATTCTTGCCCTGGTATTGAATGTTTGCCATGTATATGCTGTGCTCTGCCCTGAGACCCCTGAGTCGGGGTGAGAAGGGCGGAATATACATGTTTTAAACCAGGGATCCACAAACTTTTTAAACAGAGGGCCAGGTCATAGTCCCTCAAACTGTTGGAGGGCCGGATTATAATTTGAAAATAGCATGAATGAATTCCTATGCACACTGCACATATTTTATTTGTAGTGCAAAAGCACTTAAAAACAATACAATAATTAAAATGAAGTACAATTTTAACAAATATAAACTTATTGTCAAAGGCTTTCATGGCCGGAATCACTGGGTTGTTGTAGGTTTTTTTGGGCTATATGGCCATGTTCTAGAGGCATTCTCTCCTGATGTTTCACCTGCATCTATGGCAAGCATCCTCAGAGGTAGTGAGGTCTATTGGAACTAGGAAAAAAGGTTTATATATCTGTGGAATGACCAGGGTGGGACAAAGAACTCTTGATACTAACCTCTCATACACTCCAGAGCAGGGGTCCTCAAACTTTTTAAACAGAGGGCTAGGTTACAGTCCCTCAAACTGTTGGAGGGTCGGATTATAATTTGTAAAAACATGAATGAATTCCTATGCACATGGCACATATCTTATTTGTAGTGCAAAAAAACACTTTAAAACAATACAATAATTAAAATGAAGAACAATATTAACAAATATAAACTTATTAGTATTTCAATGGGAAGTGTGGGTCTACTTTTGGCTGATGAGATAGAATTGTTGTTGTTGTTGTTGTTGTGTGCTTTCAAGTCATTTCAGACTTAGGTTGACCCTGAGCGAGGGCCGGGTAAATGACCTTGGAGGGCCGCATCCGGTCCCCGGGCCTTAGTTTGAGGACCCCTGCTTTAAAGCATAGAATCATAGAATCAAAGAGTGATAAAAATGAAGAACAATTTTAACAAATATAAATTTATTAGTATTTCAATGGGAAGTGTGGGCCTACTTTTGGCTGATGAGATAGGATTGTTGTTGTTGTGTGCTTTCAAGTCATTTCAGACTTAGGTTGACTCTGAGTGGGGGCCAGGTAAATGACCTTAGAGGGCCGTACCCGGTCCCCGGGCCATAGTTTGAGGACCCCTGATCGAGACAATAGAATAGAATTAACTGCTCAGAGGCTGGATCTACAATGCCTTATATCCCAGGATATGATCCCAGATTATTTATTTATTTATTTATTTACTTTGCTTCTATACCGCTGTTCTCAGCCTGAAGGCGACTCACAGCGGTTCACAAGACACAGAACACAGCAGAATTCAAACACCAATATAAACAATTAATACCCTAATCTAATACACATACTTTGTGCTTTTCCTGCGTGGTAGGGACTTGGACCAGCTCTATTCCATGATACTATGAATTAACCGTTCTCGTTGCAGACTCTGGACCGCCATTGCGGGCAATGCGTGATCATCACCAGCTCCAGCCACGTCCTGGGGAGCAAGCTGGGGCCGCTTATCGACCAAGCTGAATGTATCATCCGCATGAATGACGCTCCCACCACGGGCTACGAGGCCGACGTGGGGCGCAGGACCACCTTCCGGGTCGTGGCCCATTCCAGCCTCTTCCGGGTCCTGCGGAAGCCGCAAGAGTTTGTCAGCAAGACGCCAGAGAACATCCTCATCTTCTGGGGGCCGGAGGGCCGGATGAAGAAGAGCTTGTTCAAGGTCATCCAGCGGGCCAGCGCAGCTTACCCCAACATGACCGCCTTCGTCGTGAGCGGCAATCGCCTGGGGCAGTTTGACCGCTTGTTCAAGAAAGAGACCGGGAAGGACAGGTACAGCTTCTTCATCCAGCTCTTCTGCGGGAAAAGGAGGGAAGAGAGGTTACGGTTCCTCCCCATCACCACCATCAGACCTTTCTGTTCTGCATTTCCATTTCTGGGCACCATTCAAAGTCCTAGTGATCATCTCTAAAGTCTTGTGTGGCTTAGGTCCATATCCTCCTGTACAAACCGGCCCATGTCTTGGATCTTATGGGGAGGCCCTTCTCTCTGTCCCACCTCCATCTTTATTTAGACAGGCTTTTAAAGATGAAGGTGTTTAAGATCAATTCAGGGGGTGCTGTGGTTTTTAACTTTGAATTTGTTTTAATGGTTTTTAACTGGGAATTTTTTAAATGCTGTTTATATTTAATCATAGAATCATAGAATTGGAAGAGACCTCATGGGCCATCCAGTCCAACCCCCTGCTTGTTTTAATAGATAGATAGATAGATAGATAGATAGATAGATAGATAGATAGATAGATAGATAGATAGATAGATAGATATATTCTGTGCGTAATGAGTACCTTAAAAACAAAAGAACCAATGAATGAAATCACACCAAATTTGGCAACAAAACGTCTCACAACACAAGGAGTGACCATCACTCAAAAATTATGATTTTGTCATTTGGGAGTTGTAGTTGCTGGGATTTATAGTTCACCTACAATCAAAGAGCATTCTGAACTCACCAATGATGGAATTGAACCAAACTTGGCACACAACTCCCATGACTAATAGAAAATACTGGAAGGGTTTGGTGGGCATTGACCTTGAGTTTTGGAGTTATAGTTCACCTACATCCAGAGAGCACTGTGGACTCAAACAATGAAGGATCTGGACCAAACTTGGCATGAATACTCAATATGCCCAAATGTGAACACAGGTGGAGTTTGGGGAAAATAGACCTTGACATTTGGTGGGGCATATGACCTCTTGAGTTATTGGAGTTATAGTTCACGCTAGCATCTGGACAAGCTTTGAAAGAGAGCATCTATATAAATAAAAACATAATGTTTGTTTGTGGGATTAACATAACTCAAAAACCACTGGACGAATTGACACCAAATTTGGACACAAGACACCTCTCAGGCCAACGAGTGACCATCACCCATAAAAACACAGCAGAAGAGATTTAAAAAGCCAAAAAACAAAAATTAAATTACAACGTAAGCGCTAAACCCCATATCTATACGCAAACACACACATATATATACATATGCACATATATACACACACAAAACACATATACACAGGCTGGGCCACAGCAATGCGTGGCAGGGGACAGCTAGTAATAATAATAATAATCTAAATAAATAAAAATGTAATGTTCGTTTGTGGGTTTAACATAACTCAAAAACCACTGGGCAAATTGACACGAAATTTGGACACAAGACACGTATCAGGCCAATGAGTGACTATCACTCATAAAAACACTGAAAAACACAGCAGAAGGGACTTAAAAAGCCAAAAATAATAATAATACATTACAATACATGCACAAAATCACACACACACACACACACACACACACACACACACACACATATATATATATATATATATATATATATATATTCATATACACACACACACAAAACACATATACACAGACTGGATCACAGCAATGTGTGGCAGAGGATGGCTAGTAATAATAATCAGCATCATCGGGTTGCTGTAGGTTTTCCAGGCTGCATGGCCATGTTCCAGAAGCATTCTCTCCACATCTGTGGCAGCCATCCTCAGAGGTTGTGAGGTGTGTTGGAAACTAGGCAAGTGGGCGGGAGAAAGAAAGAACTCTTGTCTGTTTGAGGCAAGCGTGAATGTTGCAGTTGTGATCGTAGTGCTAGCTCATTAGGACAACTAAATGCACCAGGCCTACATTTGCAAACATGGCTATTGGATTTGAAAAGGGAGGAAGATGACGGCAACTAACTTTTCTTATTTCCTTCCTGATTGGCTTTCCTTTGGGAATCCTGCATCTGGCTGGCCAACTCCGTCAGAGAGACATCACGGTCGTGGCTGAGCACCGGCTGGTTCACCATGTTGATTTCGATCGAGCTGTGTGACACGATCCACGTTTACGGGATGATTCCTGCAAACTATTGCTCGTGAGTGCTACCTGCTCCAAATATTCTTTAATGGCTGAGATAGTGTGACTCGCTCAAGGTCACCAAGTGGGTTTCCATGCACGAGTGAGGATTCAAACCCCGGTTTCCCAGCCCAGCATCCAAACCACTGCACCATACTGGCTCCCTTAATTCAAGTGCTGAAAAATGAATTATTCCATCTATATAAATAAACATGTAATGTTCGTTTGTGGGATTAACATAACTCAAAAACCACTGGACGAATTGACACCAAATTTGGCCACAAGACACCTACTAACCCAAGGAGTGACCATCACTCAGAAAAGTTGATTTTGTCATTTGGGAGTTGTAGTTGCTGGGATTTATAGTTACCCTACAATCAAAGGGCATTCTGAACTCCACCAAGAATGGAATTGAACTAATTTTGGCAAACAGAACTCCAGTGACAAACAGAGAATACTGGAAAGGTTTGGTAGGCATTGACCTTGAGTTTGGGAGTTGTCGTTCACCTACATCCAGAGACCACTGTGGACTCAAACAATGATGGATCTGGACCAAACTTAGCACGAATATTCCATATGCCCAAATGTGAACACAGGTGGAGTTTGGGGGAAATAGACCTTGACGTTTGGGAGTCGTCGTTACTGGGATTTACAGTTCACCTACAATCAAAGAGCATTCTGAACCCTACAAACAACAAAATTGGGGCAAACTTCCCACACAGAACCCCATGACCAACACAAAATACTTAAGGCCATCCAGTCCAACTCCCTTCACAAGGGCAAGAAAACGTAAACAAAGCTCTCTTGCCAAAGAGCCATCCAGCCATAGATATAGACAGATAGATATGATTCACACCCATACAGATATAGTATCATAGATTTCTAAGGGACCCTGAAAGAAGGACAATGATATGTTGCATGTTCCAGGGTGGGCAAACCAGACACTCTCCACATCAACACTGACAAAGACACAGCAAGAAATACTGTTTACCCACAAGCATAAAGACATTACATATATTAGAAACCAACACTTTCCCATTACTTTATTTTCCAGATCACCAGACTGGGCCACAGCAACGTGTGGCAGGGGATGGCTAGTCTATTAATATGAAAGTGGGGAGATCAATCCATTTGTATGACCTTCCTTACTTACTTAGGCGATCCCTCGTTGTCCAAGTAAGATAGTCTTCCAGGATCAGTGTCCTGGTGATGGGTCCGTAGATGACTGTGGAGCCCTATTCTTGACCTGCATGTTCTCCTGCAGTGAGGGCATTGGTTTCCAGACGGAAGGCGGTCCTGGTTGGGGTTGGCTTGATGCACCTTCCTCTTGGCACATTTCTCCCTTTCACCCTCTATTTGTGCCTCTTCAAATTCTACAGCACTGCTGGTCACAGCTGACCTCCAGCTGGAGCGCTCAAGGGCCAGGGCTTCCCAGTTCTCGGTGTCTATTCCAGAGTTTTTAAGGTTGGCTTTGAGCCCATCTTTCAATCTCTTTTGCTGTCCATCGACATTATGCTTCCCGTTCTTTTTTCCTGCCCACCAACATTCCGTTTTCCATTCTTGAGTTCGGAGTAGAGCCACTGCTTTGGGAAATGGTGGTTGGGCATCCAGAAAACGTGGCCGGTCAAGTGGAGTTGATGGCGGAGGACCATCGCTTCAATGCTGGTGGTCTTTGCTTATTCCAGCATGCTGACGTTTCCCCGCTGGTCTTCCCAAGAGATTTGCAGGATTTTCCGGAGGCAGCGCTGATGGAATCGTGCCAGGAGTTGCATGTGACATCTGTAGACAGTCCACGTCTCGCAGGCGTAGAGCAGGGTTGGGATGGGAAGAGGTTTATAAAGAAGCCCCTTGGTCTCCCTACGGATGTCCCGGTCCTCAAACACTCTCTGCTTCATTTGGGAAAATGCTGCACTCACAGAGCTCAGGTGGTGTTGTATTTCAGTGTCAGTGTTGACATCTGTAGACAGTCCACGTCTCGCAGGCATATAGCAGGGTTGGGAGGGGAAGAGGTTTATAAACATACACACATACCTAATTTAAAAAAGGCTACAAAAATGAAATGTTTGATCAAGAGGAAACCCCTTTTGTTTGATGGAGGCTCCTTCTTTTCGCTCTTCCCGCCAGCACGCAGAGACCACATTCGCGCAAGATGGCCTACCACTACTACGAACCCAAGGGCCCCGATGAATGCGTCACCTACATCCACAACGAGTGGAGCAAGAGGGGATACCATCACCGGTTCATCACCGAGAAGCGGGTCTTCGCCAAGTGGGCGAGCCTTTACAACATCACCTTCTCCCACCCATCCTGGAACTAGGAACCCGGAAGGAAACCAAGCGAACGAGACCATGGGAAAAGGAGAAAGCCACATAAGTGCCAAATTGGCTGGGTTCGTGTGGGGCAATCAAGGGATGAATCAATGGGGATGCCACGCGATTCTGCGGAAGGGCACGAGAGCCAGTTCGGATGGGGATTCTTGGTTCTGTGAAACCAAGAATTACATCTCCCAGAATCCGCAAGAAGTTGTGGATATTGAGGCAGCCTTTGATATCAGGATCATCTCATGTTTGGCCCTCCCTCCAGGTGTTTTGGATTCCAACTCCCACACTTCCTAACAGCCTCAGGCTCCTTCCTTTTCCCCCCTCAGCTGCTTAAGCGGCTGCGGGGGGAAAGAAGCCTGAGGCTGTTAGGAAGTGTGGGAGTTGGAGTCCCAAACCCCTGAAGGGCCAGAGTTTGCCCATTCCTGTTCTAGATGGATGCCCCAAACTTTGGGTGCTTCCCCAAGGCAGTTTCTGGAAAGGCATCCAGAGCATAGTCCCAACTCTGTGGCCCACATTGAGCTCTAGCACCTCAGCATGGCCAGAAGCACATTTTCCAAAAGGTAAACACTTCTAGGGATTATTGTCGAAGGCTTTCATGGCCAGAATCACTGGGTTGTTGTAGGTTTTTCCGGGCTATATGGCCATGTTCTAGAGGCATTTCTCCTGACGTTTCGCCTGCATCTATGGCAAGCATCCTCAGAGGTAGTGAGGTCTGTTGGAAGTAGGAAAAATGGGTTTATATATCTGTGGAATGACCAGGGTGGGACAAAGGACTTTTGTCTGCTGGAGCTAGGTGTGAATGTTTCAACTGACCACCTTGATTAGCATTTCATGGCTTGGAAGTGCCTGGGGGAATCCTTTTTTGAGAGGTGATTTGATGTCCCTGATAGTTTACTCTCTGTTGTTTTGCTGTTGTAATTTTTGAGTTTTTTAATATTGGTAGCCAGATTTTGTTCATTTTCATGGTTTCTTCCTTTCTGTATTATTCTGTATTCTGTATTTAAAAACTCAAATATTACAACAGCAAAACAACAGAAAGTAAAAGGCACATCAAATCACCTCTCAAAAAAAGATTCCCCCAGGCACTTCCAAGCCATTAAATGCTAACCAAGGTGGTCAGTTGAAACATTCACACCTAGCTCCAGCAGACAAGAGTCCTTTGTCCCACCCTGGTCATTCCACAGATATATAAACCCATTTTCCTACTTCCAACAGACCTCACTACCTCTGAGGATGCTTGCCATAGATGCAGGCAAAACGTCAGGAGAAAATGCCTCTAGACCATGGACATATAGCCCGACAAAACCTACAACAACCCACTTCTAGAGAGGAAAGAAGCTGATCTAAGAAGGGTAACAGCGGCCCCTGCTGCTCTTGTTTTTCATCTCCACCCCACCATTGCTGTTCCCGGGCATTGAAGTGCTGTGAAACATGAATCACTCATTTCTCTCACCTGTCAGATCTGTGGCTCTGCCAGAGAGAAGTTGGACATCCGACAACATTCGAAAAGGAGCGCAGGTTCCTTTAAATTGTTGGGTTTGCAAACACTGGGTCTTAGCAGCCAGGAGAGGAGATCTTGCATCTCCTTGGGGGCAGGAAATGGGTCTGAACAAAAAGCAAAGGGAGTTGTTGTCCCTACAACTGGGCCAAGCAAAGGTTGTTGTTCCTACAACTGGGCCAAGCAAGGCGTCCTTCTCCTGACAATGATTTCCCTTGCTAGGGCTGATGGTAGTTGGACCCCAGTTTACTGCATTTCCTCAGGTGAGAAAAGAAAAGCAAGGATGGTGCTGAACTCACAGCCCTGAGTCCGATCGGCTGTCCTCCAATCAATCAGGCCCATTGAATGGTGAGCCGATCTGTAAGTAAACCCATGATTGGAATGAGTCTACTTTAGCATCCATTGATCGCAGGGGTTCTCAAATTTTGATCCTCTCAGGGTTTGGGATTCCAGTTCCCATCATTCCATTCCATTGGCCATGCGAGCTAGAAGGCTTTGGAGTGTGAATGAGCCTCTGGGGTGCTGAACGAAAATCCCACATTATCTGCTTTGAACTGGAATATAGGGCAGTGTGGACTCAGATAACCCAATTCAAAGCCAATATTGTGGAGTTTTCTTGATTTTCTGGGTTATACATCTGTGTGGAAGGGCCCTGGTTCTCTTCGTTGCCTTTTCCAGAATTTCGCAGCCGCACACCATGAAAATCCCTTCTCAGTCCTCCCAAAATAACTCAACAACACCAGTTAGAATGAGAGATATTTGCATTGTTTTCCTCAATGACAGAAGGCATCTATCTTATGGGATGCCTTCTTGAGAACAGGGTTGGTGGCCACATGTTCAGGTTCTTTTTTTTCCTCCTGGCAAACGATAATATTTAATGTATCGTCAAAGCCTTTCATGGCCGGAATCACTGGGTTGTTGTAGGTTTTTTCAGGCTGTATGGCCACATTCTAGAAGCATTCTCTCCTGATGTTTCGCCTGCATCTATGGCAAGCATCCTCAGAGGAGTGAGGTCTGTTGGAACTAGGAAAACGAGTTTATATATCTGTGGAATGACCAGGGTGGGACAAAGAACTCGTCTGTTGGAGCTAGGTGTGAATGTTTCAACTGACCACCTTGATTAGCATTTGATGGCCTGGCTGTTTGGTTTGCCCCGGGGCACTAACAAGCCACACCAAACAACTGCCAGGCCATCAAATGCTAATCAAGGTGGTCAGCTGAAACATTGACACCTCGCTCCAGCAGACAAGAGTCCTTTGTCCCACCCTGGTCATTCCACAGATATATAAACCCATTTTCCTAGTTCCAACAGACCTCACTACCTCTGAGGATGCTTGCCATAGATGCAGGCGAAACGTCAGGTGAGAATGCCTCTAGAACATGGCCATATAGCCCGAAAAAACCTACAACAACCGAATAATATTTAAGTTGCACAGTTCTTAATGTTTGAAAGTTCTGAAATGTGGGAAGGACGTGCGGGACAATGTTCAGAAGTATGTGTTCTTCTTGGCAGATTGTATGGTTTGTTGTATTGTCGAAGGCTTTCATGGCCGGAATCACTGGGTTGTTATGTGTTTTCCGAGCTCTACGGCCACGCTCCAGAAGCATTCTCTCCTAACATTTCACCTGCATCTACGGCAGGTATCCTCAGAGGTTGTAAGGTCAGGAGAGAATGCTTCGGGAATGTGGCCACGCAGCCCGGAAAACACACAACAACCCATATGGTTTGTGTGCGAATCCTTTGCCCGACGAACGGCGCCCCTGCTAACACAGCCTCAATCCCGGGCCAAAAAACCCCCAACAACCCTCCAACATACCCCCACCCCCTTAGGGTTATTTAATTTGTAATGTATTTAATTTGCAAAGAGGTATAAATGTAAATGTATTTAATATACAAACCAAAGCACCAGCAATTTTTCTTACATGCTAATAATTGGAATTAACAGAAAATATGTGCGTAATCTTCTTCATATTTGCCAAAACAAGATTTAGAAAACATGACATGCACTGGCAAGCTTTTCCCAACCTAGAGCCCACTAAAGTTGCTTGGATTGCGATCCCCATCATCCCCAGACGGCTGTGTTGTATGCAGGACGTAGGGGAAGATGCCAAGGGAGGGTAGCCTTGGTTTTTCCTGGAAGGCATGGAGCACAATCGCACCCGGCACCCACTTTGCGCTCTTCTGCCGCTCAGTCTGGACTTCGACGAAACAGTGGCGAATGTCATTCTTGCTCAGCTTGCCTCTCGTCTTCTCTTTTACTCTGAATTCTTCTGGATCTTAGTATTATTGTGCCGGCGGTTAGGGACACAGCGTTTGAGCGGTTAATCAGTTCGATAAATTGAATTAGAAACCCGTTTAATAAAGTTTGAATTGACTACAAAAAACGTGGCACGATTTTAATTAGATTTTTTTTAATTTAATGTAATTGGTTTTAATACATAAATTTAGGGGGGGGGGGAAATAGTCTTGCCTAGGTTAGATGGAAGCCTTAATACATTTCTTTATGCTGTAGTGACCCCCAACCATAACATTACTTTTATTGCTCCTTCACAACTGTAATTCTGCTGTTGTTGTGAATCGTCGTGTCAATCTCTCTTACTACTAGGAGCATAGTGTCTAGATCTAGGGAAGTAATGCTACCCATCTATTCTGCCTTGGTTAGACCACACCTGGTATATTGTGTCCAATTCTGGGCACAACAATTGAAGACAGATATTGACAGGCTGGAATGTGTCCAGAGGAGGGCAACTAAAATGATCAAGGGTCTGGAGAACAAGCCCTATGAGGAGCGGCTTAAAGAGCTGGGCATGTTTAGCCTGAAGAAGAGAAGGCTGAGAGGAGATATGATAGCCATGTATAAATATGTGAGAGGAAGCCACAGGAGGAGGAGGGAGCTTCCTTTCTGCTTCCCTGGAGACTAGGCTTCAAAGGAGATTCCATCTGAACATGAGGAAGAACTTCCTGACTGTGAGAGCCGTTCAGCAGTGGAACTCTCTGCCCGAGGGAGTGTGGTGGAGGCTCCTTCTTTGGAAGCTTTGAAACAGAGGCTGGATGGCCATCTGTCAGGGGTGCTTTGAATGCAATATTCCTGCTTCTTGGCAGAATGGGGTTGGACTGGATGGCCCAGGAGGTCTCTTCCAACTCTAGGATTCTATGATTCTATTGTCATACACTGGGCCAAGTCTGGCACAAAGACCCCATACGCTCAAATTTGAATACTGGTGGGGTTGTGGCATTTTGAACTCCACCAACAATGGAATTGGACTGATCATGGTACACAGAACTCCCACAACCAAGGATTTGATGGGCATTGACCTTGATTTTGGGAGTTGTAGTCCATCTACATCCAGAGAGCACTGTGGACTCAAACAAGGATGGATCTGGACCAAACTTGGCATGGATACTCAGTGTGCCCTATTGTGAACACCGGTGGAGTTTGGGGAAACCAGACCTTGACACTTGGGAGTTGTAGTTGTTGGGATGTATAGTTCTCCTACAATCCAAGAGCATTCTGAGCCCCACCAAGGATAGAATTGGGCCAAACTTCCCACACAGAACCCCCATTAACAACAGAAAATTCTGTGTTTTCTGGTGGTTGTTGGCAACCACCCTGACATCCCCTTCTGAAAAACTAGGCTTATACTTGAGTATATGCAGTAAATATATACAAATGCCTTGGTCTGCAAAACTGTGTGGTTTCTTTTCTGGGTGCAAAATATCAGTGAGCACCAATGTTTTGTGCAAACCGTGGCGCTGTGGGTACAATGGCGGTA